CCCTCCTCTCCTCCATTCCTCCTTGAGGCCCCCTCCCGCCGCTCACCACGTCCCTCCTCTCCTCCACCCTCTCCCCCATGAGTCCCCTTGTGAAAGTGAAATGAATTATATTAAAGAAATAGAATGGATTAAAGAAATGCTGTATGTGCCTTTAAGTAGAAATGAGGAATGCTGTGATCCAGGTGTCAGGAAAGCAGACATTAAGGTATTAAGGGTGATTGGTGAAGTATTAGCCTTAGATCGATAAGAGTTAGTTAGGAAGCAGGATATGCATATTGTGCCCCAGGTAAACTTTACAATGTTGCTCTCTTTGTCCCTTTGTTTAGTTCACGCCCTTCTATCTGTATAAATAGGACAGTTTGGGTCTTGCATGGGACTCACTTTATCATCTGTATATGTGTCAATAAACGGAGTGGTCATAACAAATTGTGAGTCCAGATTCTAACTTTGACACCCTCCACCCACTGCTCACCATGTCCCTCCTCTCCTCCACCGCCCTCCTCACCGCTTAATTAAAGTCTCTTTATAGGTAACAATTTATATTTATGAACTAACAGAATTAGAAAATCCAATGGACTAGAACAATCTGCCCTCCCCCACGCCCCCACTGATACACATTCACTCTTCAGTTTCACAGTTTCCAGCGTCTGTCAGCCCAGAGTTTGGAGGACGTTTAGTTTTGTCTTGAGGAATCCTCTTGTGCGATCTTTGTTTCCTGTTCTGAGTTCCAGCTTAAATAAAGCCACGTATTCCTGGGTGTGATGTCTTGGGTTCTATCCCTCCGCTCCCTTCTAGTTTACAGTCTCATTGTTCTCTGACAATTTCTCCATTCCTGTCATTCCCCTTGTATGCCTGAGGGTGCTGTCCAGAGATGTTGTTTTACAGTCCTTACTATTTCCTTATTTTCACTACAGCTCAAACCCTGCTTATTTCTTAAATCAGTTTCTCTTTATATTTTATTACAGGTTATTTCCTTCACATGTCACTCTTGTGAATGATTGCTTTGCCACTCTGGGGAATGTGAACTTTTGTCTGCTGCTTCATGATCCTGGGATACTGTGTGCTGTGTGTGGTCTGTATGTGTATGTGTGTGTGTGTGTGTGTGCGTGTGTGTGTGTCAGTTCCGGGTTTACCATGGCGCTGGGCCCAGAGTCAGAAGGGACCCTGGCCAGCCCACACCCCTGCTCTGCCCCCACCCTGCCTCTTCCCCAAAGCCCCCATCCCTGCTCCGCCCCAACCCCACCCCTCTTGGGGTGGTGGCCATGACGTCCACCTGTCGGTTTTCAGGCTCCACTCCGGCCACAGCAGCCATCAGATGACCCAAGTGAGCCCAGCTAGCCTAGGACTGGTGGGTACAGTGGTAGTTTAGGGGGAGGAAGAGCCCCAACCGGAGCTGCGCTGGGGGGGGGAGGAGTAGCCCCAATCCTGGCAGGAGCTGTGCTGGGAGGGAGTGAGGAGGAGGTGAAGCCCCGACCTTGGCAGGAGCTGCGCTGGGGGAGGGGGAGGAAAAGCCCCAACCCCGGCAGGAGATGCGGTGCTGAAGCCCCCAGCTGCCTTAGTGGCAGAAGCTGAGGGGCTGAAGCCCTGACCCCACTCTGTGCGGAGCTGGCCTGAGCCCCTCTCTCTCCCATTCCCCCTATGTGGAGCTGGCTCTCATTCTCAGGCTCTGGAGAAATTTAGCCCAAATTTACCAACCTTGGTATGTTCATTTCCCCCATCATGACACACCCATTAATGGATTTAGCCTAGGAGGCAGGGTGAGCATTAGCCCCATTTGGCAGGTGGGATCTAGGGTGAAGTGACTTTCCCAAGGCTAAGCAGGGAGTCTGTGGTAGAGGAGAGACCAAACCCAGAACACCTGGCCCCCAGGCCTGTGCCTTAACTGCCCACTGGCAAAACCAAAAGTCAGCACCTATGGTGGGATGGGGAAGAGAAGGGGATGGGGAATCGGGGGCCCAGCATGCAGATCCCCTTGGCAGTAGCTGGGGCTCCCCTGTTACGCAGGCCCATCAAACCTCACCCTGACAAGCCCCACCTCCCCTGCATGTACCACCCCGATGAGCCCCCCCCCAGACACACTCCCCACTGAGCCCCACCCACCTACACCTGGACCCCCACCCAAATGAACCCCACCTCTCCTGCACCCAGACCCCTCCCCCCTGCTGAGCTCCAACCACTTTCACTTGGACCCCCCTGCCGACTCCAATAACCCGTGCACTGGCACCTCCCTGTGCATCCAGATCCCCCACTGAGATGCCTGCACCCAGACTGCCCCACATGGAACCCTCTTACCCCCCAACACAGACACCTCTTACCCCCATCTGGATCCCCCCACACTAAGTCCCTCTGCACTAGGATCCTGCTGCCGGGCTGAGCCTCCCTGCTCACGTCTGGTGAGCCTGGCGCAAAAGGGGCAGGGCCCCAGGGTGTTTCTGGGGCAGGCCTGGCCCTTGTGCTGTGTCAGGGTCAGGTTCAGCCTCACTGCCAAGTCCCTGTCCCAGGTGGGCGGGGGAGGCTGCAGGGTAATCTCCCACCTCAGTGGCCTGTGCTTCCCACTGCCATGGTGGAGCTTCCACATTTATTTATTGTAAAAAAAAAAGTGCAGAATTTAAAAATATTATGCACAGAATTTGATGCAGAATTCCCGTATGGGGTGCTGTACAGCTGTGCTGGTGGGACTGTGAAGGGGATGCTGGACAGTAGGGGATCTGTGGGTGGGGGAGCTGGGCAGGGGGTATGGTGTGCAGGGTTCTGTGCAGTTGTGGTGGGAGGTCAGCGGGAGGGGTTTCTGGGCAGAGGGTGCTGGGCATAGCGGGTCTGGGGGCATTGGGCATAGGGATCTTTGGGGGAGGTCTCTGCTTGAGGGGGTGCTGGGCATAAGGGCAGGGCACTGGGCAGGGGGGCAGGGCTGGGTGGGCCAGTGTGCATCTAGCAGTTGTGGGTTTGTAAACAGTGCCCTTGTGCTGGGCTGAGTGGGGCCACTCCCACTGTGCTGCGCCTCATTGCCCCCAACTGGCCCCTCACTCTGTGGACCGCCCCCCATCACATGCCCTATTTCCCCAATGGGGGCCCACAAATATGTTTGGCGCCGAGCCCACAAAAAGTTAATCCGGCCCTGTGATACAGACTGAAATCACCATAGCTTTGCAGTTCCTTTTCTACTTTCGCTTTCTACCTTGGTGAAGGCATCGAGAGAGACACATTTCACTTCAGCGTCCAACAAAAAATAAACACCATATTGGCAGAAATACGGAAGGAAAGACCAGGATTCAGCTCTTTGTCTCTGTAATTTCTTACTAAGAATTAATTTTGCAGTCTCATCACTGAAAGAGTCACTGACAATGTAAACTAATTAGAGGAGAATGGATGAGGATTTTAGAAAACCTGGGAACACGAGAGAGAGCTCAAAACTGTTCCAAAGCTTATTTCCAGGATGTGTCAGGTAAGTGAGCTTCTGTCGCTTGAATACCATCTCCCTTGCTCTTCGATATCTCTTAGTAGACATTTATTCCCTGTGTGAATTATTACCTGCAAAATGATCCAGTAATCCCAGGATAAATATGTCTTACTCTGAATATAAAGTTTGCTTTTGAACTATATATTCAAAATGATATATGAGCTATTTTTCCCTCTCCTTTCATTGTAACGTAACTCCAGACTATTCTGGTTATTTGGTTTAAGAATTTATTTCTTTGCTCCTATACTTTATTCAAGAAAACTGGACATGATCCTGCTCTCAATACATTCAAAGGGAGATTTGCTATGAATTAATTTATTGTATATTTCTGTTTTGTAAAGTAAGTTACGAACTCTTGCAAATCCGAATTTATGGGAAGTGTCTTTGTGTTCCCTGTTACTGAATAACTTTGTTTATGGGACTGAATCATTTTGCCTTGGATATTTTGAAAGAAAAGAAAAGTGTAAAAGTTGGTAGTAATTCCATCAATGGAGAAAAAGTTTTAAGAAATGAGAAAGTGTGTGTGTGTGTGTGTGTGTGTGTGTATGAGAGAGAGAGAGAGAGAGAGAGAAGAAGAT